ACATTTTCGATAGTATGGAATAACCGATTTATAAAATTGAAAAATCGGTTCGTACTCGATCGCGAGGCGTTTTTTGCAAAATTTGCCATAAGGTGTAAAAACGGTTATGCAGTTTTTGAGAGAACGGATCATCCGATTAGATTAATTCAAAAAACATTTTGCATGAATAGACGGTGTGCAAAAAATGCATTTACAGAAAATTTAATAATTTTGAAAACTTTCAAAAAAAATCATAATTTTCAAAAAAAAACTGATTTTACAAAAAATCAAATTTAAAAAAAATGGACTTTTGTGATAATTTAAAAAAAAATCGAATATTTTCAAAAATTTTCAAATTCTCGAAATATTTAGAAAAACCGTTTTTGAAAAAATTTCTAAATTTTCAAAAAAATTCTAAATTATACAAAAATCAAATTTAAAAAAAATGGACTTTTGTGAACGTACACATAAGTTGTTCATAAAATACGTTCGTCGCCCAATTTATAAAGCACTTATAAGTTTACAGTATGTAATAAATAATCTATTTCGAAATTATTCAAAACAGTTTATTGATTATTTTCATTCCTCGATTATTTAATTACGGTACGGGAAGTTCCAGCAATTTGCCTAAGGCACGATGCCATGCGCCCCACTAGTTGTTATTGTTTTTTCCTGGTATATATATGGGAGACCTCTAATATTATACTCTAATACATTTGGACACTATTTCGGCGTTCTAAATGGGCCAAAATATGCTTTTATAAAATCCAATCTTTGGATCAATGCACATCAGAATTCATTTTATACGTATGGTTTTTTCGGCAAAGTATCTTTTCTTGATCCCTAGAATCCGAAAATCATATGTGCCTATGCGACTTTTTTACCCATACAAATCAACCCGCCAATATATATATATATATATATATATATATATATATATATATATATTTATTATGGAACTTTATTTATTTATTTATTTATTTATTTATTATACGCCAATCGTCTATATACAGTTAATTACATAGTAATGTAACATAATAATGTTAAACTTTGTTATTTTACAACACATATACACACACATACGAGCACCTATACATACACTCGTACATACATACGTCTGTACATGCACTTATACGTAGACTCAAACACACTAGTAATGCTAACAAATTCTAATAAGTATTATTCCCTTTGACAATGTTGATAAATGTTGTATGTGATGAATTAAAAAAGTTTAGTTTTGAGCACTGTTCGTTGACCACCATTGCTACTCTGTTCATTGGACCGTTCAATATATAGTTTTTTGTCGTTTTTGAAGTCTGCAGAATACGATTTGTTCTTAATAAGTTGTCTCGGGCATATCAAATTAATTTTTTCTAGAATCTCAGGGGAATCAATTGAGCCATTTACTGTCTTATAAAAAAAATAAGATCAGTAATTTGCTGTCGTTTGCTTAGGTTATTTTCCTCGCATTTCAGTAAAAAATTTCCGCTTTCATGTGCACTAATTCTTTTCGATTGCACTCTATTAAGTTTGTTGCTTTGATAATTCAATGTGAGGTGTCCAAACTATGGATTATATATAGATATACTCGTATTCTAGAATAGGCCTGACGAGTGTGGAGTACAGAATGTATAGTGTGTCTATACTGTGGAAATCTCGACCACTCCTGATGATGAATGCTGAATATATATTATATATATATATATATATATATATATATATATATATATAAAATATTAATATATATATATATATATATAATATATATATATATATATATATATATATATATTATGTGCTTTAACGAAAAGTTTCAACATACAATTTGATGTCATCACCAGTGGAACTTGGTGCGTTACATCTAAGAATGTGTACACAGCACAAAATTTAGCACTAACATTAATACAACTAACCTGCCAAAATTATGAATTTTGTTGTAAATAAGAAAAATAATGAAAGTTTTGTTCCACAAAAATGTAGAAAAATTAAAGTATCTTGGCACAGAAGCATGTACCTCTAAATGAAAGTGAAAATAAATGAATAGATTATATAACGAAATATTAGAAATGTTAGAAAATTCAAAAGTCCCTAAAAAAAACTTAAAAAAAATTCAATTACAAAATTTATTTCTTCGTCTGAAAAGAAATTTATAAAATCACATTTTTTGATAAAATCGTTTTTAGTGAAAAAGTGTTCAAATAATCTAGGTCATTAATTCTGTTTTTTCTTAACCCCTTTTTAATAAAAAAAAACTTCCAAATTTTTATTTTATCAACATTTCTAATATTTAGATATATAATTGTTTATTTTTATTACTTTCAGTTTTATTATATTGTCATACTTCTGAAATGTTATTTCTTCTTTAATTTCATTCATTTTATATAAAAAAACACATTTTTCTGCTTTTCTTAAATATATTGTTTATTTAAATCATATCAAGATCATGTTTCTTGACAGATTTCCTAAAGATGGAACGTACCTAGTTCCGAAACGTCGACAGTAAATAAATAAAAAAAATGTTTTTTTAAAAAAAACTTGTTTTTTATTACTTTTTGGATTCTTTGTTGCACGCTCTACAATATATATATATATATATATATATATATATATAACAGAAGAAAAATTATTGACTGTTAATTTCAGGGAAATTGAAGGTAAGGTGTATAAAGCGCATGTAAAAGAAAAGGAAGAAGCGAAAAGAGTGTATAATGCAGCAGTTCAAGGAGGACTAGCGGCAGCACATGTGGCTCTAAGGTAAATATGTTTTAAATATATATAAATAGTATAACGAGTTCACCAATCATGTTGATAGTAATTGATTGTTTACTTTCACTTTTTAAAAATTTTTGCTTTAAGTTTTGAACGCTTAACCCCTTGCAGGTGGTAACGCATGTGTAACCCTCATATTTTCCTCGAAAACTTACTATTAAGGAATACTTTTCAAACTATTTTACCATAAAATATGAAAATCGATATTTTTAAATTAAAGATTTTGTTGCATTATCTTGAAATATTTTCTCTCGATAGCGTTTACCATTTATTACATATAGGATCCATCGAATTGATTTAAGTTTGCAGAAAACATTTTAAGATTTTTTTTTTCTTTATTTCATTAATTATAACAATCAGAGTCAGAATGACTCTATGAGTTACAGAGCTGATATAAAAAATAATATATAATAGATTAAAATAAAAAGTAAACAAAAAATAATAATAATTACAACTCACATTTTAAGATGATGCAATAAAATCTCCATAGATTCAAAAATATCGATAACTAGTTGGTATTGGTATCTTGCCTTGAGGCAAGTTACATGAACTTTCCGATATGTGTAAGAAGTGTAAGTAATGGACTAAATCAATAAAAAAATAATTATCAATGAGTAATTAAAAGAATTTTGAGTGGATTTATTACACATTATTGAAAACGAACGAACACGTTAACTCGGAATATTTTCTAAAAGCAAATTCTCAAGAATATTTTTTTTATAATTGAACCAGTTTCCGTAGGACTTTAATGGTTTAGTATGATCATTAAGACCAAGTACACCATGTAAATCGTCTAATTTCAATTTTAACAAACGTCAAAAAAACTACTCATTGTCTCAAACTTTCATGAATTTTTAAAATCAAACTACTAGTCGTATTTTCAGAAAACGTCGATTTATGGCAAAACGTCTGTTCACACGCAAAAACACCTAAACACACACACATCGTTTTCCAAATTTGGCCTTATTCGATTTAGAATGGCTTGAAACGTCGAGAAAACATAAAATTAGCTAATCGGATTTTTTTACGAAAACATAAACTTCTCCTTCGGCAAGTTAAAAAGAATCCAGTTTTTCAGAATTTTGGATAAATTCTAAATTTTGAAAAAAATCTTAATATTAAAATATTAATTTTTTTAAAAGTCGATTATTTATTAACTAGAAAAAATGTTATAAACATATACAATATACGATATTTGTAGAATACGCTTGTCGTGTAATTTAATAAACATTTATAAACGTACAGTTTTTATAATAATCATTTGAAATGTTAGAAAGTATTAATTATTAATGGAGAATAATTATTAGAATTAATTATTGAATAACTTTCATTGAATATTGATTATTTTTAATCCTCGAATGTTTAATTACGGTACGAAAAGTTGCAATAATTAGTCTTAAGGCACAATACCATGCAAGATGCACTCATGGATCTTTTAACGTCTGTATTACCACTAGATTTTTTTGTTTTAGTTATATAATTTGAAAAATATAAAAAAACTGATATATCAAATATACTCTATCTTTCAAAACTATTATCATGTATTTATGGCGACGGATGTTAATTAATATTGTTTTATTTTAAAAATTATTTATTGTCTTCTCCAGTGCAAGAGATTCGAATAGATTTACTGTAGACGTGTCAGTTCCAGCCACACAAAAAGCAACATTTAATTTAACATACGAAGAACTTCTGTCCAGGAGGGTGGGCGTCTACAATCACGTGCTCAACTTGAATCCTGGGCAAATTGTAAGAAAACATTTATTTATTATTATTCTAATTTAATTAATTTCTTCTACTAATAATTAATGTTTTATACTAATTTAATTAATTTAGTATAGTTTTGTAGTTAAGTGTGCTGATTGATGTTGTCGTAAAATATTATTAACTTCCCGTAAGGTAAATTAAAGTAATCGCAAAAATATCGATAATTAAAAATTTTATATATCTTTACGTTTCATATGTGGAGTAGCATTTTGTATAGCTTTTTTCAGAGTATTTATGTAAAAATTTAAGTTATTCTCTATATCTGCTTCAGATTTCAATCTGACTTTAAGATCTAATTTAGAATCGTAAATAATATTTACCAAATATATATATAAAATTTTTAATTTTTGATTTTTGAACATTTTTGCACACCTTAGAAAAAAAAGGATGTATATGTGTGTGCGTGTGTGCGGATACAAATTTCCGTCGATGATTTTGGGTACACGGATCAACCGATTTGAATAATTCAAAAAACATTCGATTCGTATTGATAAGGATCTAGCCATTTCCAAGGTAGGGGGCTAAAAGAACTAAAAACAATTCGGGGCAATTCAGTTTTGGAGAGAACGGAGCGTCCGATTTGAATAATTCAAAAAACATTTTATTTGAATAGACACAGTGAAGTACGTACAGTTTAATTCAATTGAATTTTATTATATTTTTTTAATTTCTGATGCGGGATGTTATACAAATTTACCTTAAGGCACGATGCTATGCGCCATGCATTTTTACTTTTTTCACACGATCTCTGAAACCGCTAGAGCTGCCTTCCCACAAAGTTCACTAGTTTCCTATTTTATCAAAACTTATAAATTTTTTGAAAAATTTCGACGAAAAATTGTTCCCGCACAGATATATCAATTTTTTAAGGTATGCAAAAAATGTTGAGAAACCTTTGAATAGTAAAGATATATAAAAAATTTCATTTTTCATTTTTTTCGATCATTATAACACACCGCACCGGAAGTTATAGTTAATTAAAATATTAGCAGGTTGTAATTAAACTGTATATGAAAATGTTTTTTGTTATTTTAAAATAATTATTTTTAGGTGAAAGAAATGTCTGTAGATGTGTTTATTGATGAAAACCGTCCGATCACTACATTACGTGTTCCTGAATTGCGATCTGGAAATGAAGTTACTCCCGACGAAAGCGATCCAAGTAAGTAATATTTTAGTTAACTTTTTCTCATAAATCAAATTGAAAATATTGTATATTGTCATCTTATCAATTGCACTAGATAATTCTGTTGCCACAATAATGAGAGACGAAAAGGATAAAACTAAGGCACATATAAGATTTGCACCGACACCAGATCAACAAGCCCGATTAATGATGCAATTAGTGGTATGTTCAGAAAATGAAAGAGTGATTATAAAAATTTTAATGCATCGGTAAATTGGTATTTGTATGAAGTTTCTATTTATTATTTAATATCATTATGCTTTCACTGATGAAAAAGATGATCTTATCGGTTCAGTTTTACTCTGGATATTGCAAATAGATCTTATGTTTATGATTTTTACATCTCTTTATCATAAACTTATATTTTATACATTTTAAATTTATAATAATTTCAAATACAAACAAAAATAATGATTGATCGAATATTGTTATTCTTAATCATTAGGAGAAAGAAAAGAAAGATGATCATCCTACATTCAATCCATTCGTTGTTAATACGGAATCATCAAATGTAAATTCGGGTCTTAAAGGGCAGTTTGTTGTTCAATATGATGTTGAAAGAGATCCCGCCGGTGGAGAAGTTCTAGTGAGTATTATATAATTAAAACCGTTAGATTAAATATTTATACAAACATTGGATACAATAGTATATTAAACAGATTTTTTTTTCAACTTATAGGCTGTTGTGATGATTTTTCTTAATTAACTACGTGTTTTTTCAGACGGCTCCGGTTTGCTTAGCTCAATTTAATGCATTTTATTATTAGTCTTTTTCAAATTTATTAGAATAGTCATAAACTCAGTTAAAATGAGACAAAAAATGTGGCTTATGCTTATTACGTAACTTATATAACTATTGTCTTTTAGCATTAATAGATAATGAATATCTAGAACACGATCTCCAAAGTTTATATATCAGTGTATATATATATATATTTCAAAAATTATTTTTTTAGATCTCAAAAGCCGAACTATTATTTTCGTACAAAATAATCAAATCGATTATTCTGTTACTCTTTTATATCTATCATCATGCAATATCTATTATTTAAAATTATTTAATCAAATATGTTTAATTATGTTTTAATTACATAATATGTTTACTTTACTATTTTAATGACAAAGTTTATCATAATGTAAGATAACAGACTTGCATTACATAACCATAATATACGTATCATTCTAGGAAAGATGTCATTGATGATTTTTTTAAATTACTCTTATAAATAATTTGTATATATATATATATATATATATATATATAAATATATATTATAGGACCGGTCCTACCTTAAATGCAATGCATGCGAAAAATACTGGCGCACGCCTTAGGAGGCGGAAAAGAAGTTATCTAGTGTCCAATCTCGTAAGCGCAAACGTGCGAAAGATTAAAAAAACAAGCAGGACCTCTTAACAAATTTGTAACTACAATTTGAAACGCGGCAATTAGATTCAAATGTAGTTATCGACGAAACTAAGAAAACGAATTTTTTAAAAAACGAAAATATTTCGAAATTTAGATGACCCAGCTGAATATGACATTATTGACGCAAAATTGCCAGTTGATTTAGATAAAACGGAACTTGTTACAAAAATAGATACAAAAAAAAAAATTGAGAAAAATGTAAAATGGGGAGTCAATTTCTAGAAAATGGCCCATTTATCCCGAAAAATTGAACCATGATTTGTTTTTGTTGCAAACTTTTCGTATCTAATAGTAGCTTTATAGAAGGTTTATACCACTATATCAATATAACATTACATTGTACATCTGATAAGCCGATGCAAATAAAATAGATACAGATGATAATTATTGTTCCATTTATTTCTTTTTGAAAATCAATTTGTAAAAATAAGGATAATAATTTTGTGCACTGTTGATACAACTGATTTAATGGAAGCTGGAATAATGTTCAACAATAACGGATCATTTGGAAAACTTTTTTTTGATTACATGCGTGGTTAGGGTTTACGGAAATAAAGCACATATGAAATATTGTAAGATTTTGAATTTGATGTTGACATATGTATTAAAAAAAGTCTAATAATTCGGTTCACATCAATTTTTCTATTTTGAAAAATATTTGAGTGAATAAACGAGAAACTTATAATACGCTTTTCAATTTATATGAATGAAAATGATTTATACAACGTGCAGACTGCAAATTCTTACACGAACTGCCGGTCGAGCGGCGCGTCTTTAAAACGGTCGCACGGCGCGCGCTTTGCGCGACTTGTGCTCCAAAACATGTAATATCTTTCGTAATAGCCTCTCCATCGAATTGTAAAAAGAATTTTGTAGTAGATAAAACAAGAAACAACATGATTTTTTTCTCAATGGATTTATGTCTGGGCAAGCGTATGTAAAACCAATGTAAACAATCAATTGTTATTATTGTTAAAATAATTGCAAAAACTTTTTTTTAATTACTTAAAAGTTGAGTTCATAATGAATATAATAAAAAACAATACTGATCTGTTTAACACAACTGGAGATAATTAACATAATGTAGAGGAAGTTCATAAAAATTGAGAAAATCAGCAATATTTTAATCGTAAATATTAACGAAAGAAAATTTTGTCGGCAAAATCCTGAAAAACGTGTCAAATGATTTTATCTATAATATCTATAAAAAAAATTAGCCAATTATAAAATGTCAAGGTATGGTTTGTGTACATCCATTTTTTTTGAGGTGTGCCAAAATGTTCAGAAAATACTAAAACGTAAAGATATGCAATTTATTTAAGATTATTTTCGATGTTTTGACGATTACTATAACTTTGCTCTCCGGAAGTTAAAAACTAAAACAATTTGGTCAAAACATTTTGTAACAGCAACATCAATTTAATTTCAAAAATTCTAACCGATAACGCTTATCCATTAAAACTTTTCAACATCATAACTAGCAACAGACGCGCGAACATTTTGAATAATATTTACATCATTGCATTCACATATAAATCTGGACTCTGACATATAAACAACTTTAGTATAACGACTAGTACCAAAGTTTTACCAAAACCGACACTCCTTTTAACTTCGCACGACTTAGAAATCTCGTAAAATTCGAACAAAATTTTAAACAAAGAATTATAAAAAAATCTTTTTTGACTATTCAAAACGATAGAATAGTAAATAAATGCAGTGAACTCGACACGCTGTGCGAATCAAATCTCTTTTATATATATAGTATTTCCAAATTTCTCACAAAACAATAAAAGTGTTACGCAAAGGATTCGCAATTAGTTTCACACATGTAGAATGATTGGTAAAAATATAAAAAAAAAAATTTCTCCATTATGTCTTCAACAAGTTTACGGACAACACATATATTACACACTATCTAATTGTGATTCTTTAATTTAGTATTTTGTGAAATATTGTTTATTTACATTCAGCTCTGGAAGTTTGTATTAAATTAAACCATTTGATAATGCAATGTAAAATATAATTCAATAATGGTTATTTTCCACTAATTTTGAAGAATAAACTGGCATTTTCTATGAATTTATCGATGAATGGATATTATTATATGAAGGTGCGGGGTTAAAAAGGTCCACCACTGATATCTCAAAAACCAGTAAAGTACAGCATTGCTCAACAACAATATGTGAAAGTAAAGACAAAAAATTATACAGCTGTCAGCTTGATTCATACGACTTTGCTATCGGGAGATAAACGGCAATCTTTGATAATCCATATCAAAAAGTATTTTCTTTTCCTGTTAGTTTTTTGGGTTTCGAGCACTGTGATTTAGTTCACGAGACCTTAATATAAATATTAACTATACGTTATTTAATTGTTTTATAAAATGTAATGTTAATTTTAAGTGAGATTCAACAGTTTTTTTTATATAACTACTTTAAAAGCTTACACTTGGGCGTGGTAAGCTTTAAAAGTGGTTATATAAAAACTGAACATCTACCCTGGAAAGGTATAAAAAATAAAAAATAGCAAATAAAAAAGTAAACTAGTGGGGCAAATTGCTGGAACTTTTTGTACCAAAATTATTAAAAAAAAAATTAACATTTTTGAAAAAAATAGATTTTTGAGTAACTATAAATTTTTGAAAAAAAAAATTAATTTTGGCAAAAAAACTTCTGGAATATAATATATTTTTTCAGTTTGAAATATTTTGGAAATCTTGAACTTTTTTTCAAAGCAATCGCATTTGCTTTAGCTGCATAGAGACGCAATATCGAAGCGCATAAGCGCTGCGTCGCTGTCTAACGGATAACATTGGTATGGACCCATAAGAATGTAAACATAACTTATCGTTAAAATCTCTATAAAATGTCTGATAATTTTATGTGCATATGTCTAATGATCATTTTTGTCGCCAAATGGCATTTTTTTTACTTTTTTTACTATGTCTCCGAAACCGCTGGACCTGCTCTTACCAAAAATTTAATCAAATCTTCTTCATCAAGTAAAATATTTTTGAATTATTAAAATCGGATGCTCGTTCTCTTAAAAACTGAGTTACAGTTTTTGGCACTTTTTGCCCCGTATCTTTGGAATGGCCAGACCTGCTTTCGCCAAAAACTAATCAGCATGTCTCCTTATTAATACAAATCGATTTTTTTGATTTATTCAAATCGGTTGATCGGTGACATACACACACACACACATACACATATACACACATACATAAATACACACACACACACATATATCCATTTTTTCTAAGGTATGCCAAAATATTTAAAAACCTTTGAAAAGTAAATATATATAAAATATTTCATTTTCGATTTTTCCTTCGATTACTATAACTTACCCTACGGGAAGTTAAAAACATGAAACGTAACCCATATTCCATTTATTGGAATTTGTATTGACTATATAGGTCGAAAGACTAAAAAGGATTTGGATTGTATTATACCATGTTTTCCATAGAAAATGTATAAAACTTCCAGTTTGATTGTATTTACAATATATGGATAAACGAATATTGTTAATACAAATTATATAATATTGAACAAGTAGACTTTGGGGTTTATTGTTCTTATAATACCTCATTGTCTATTCTATAGCATTCAAACAACACATCCTTACACACAAAAAATTATTTTTTTTGATTCTCTAGAAATTGTGTAGAATTATCTTACTCAGCAAAACAACATTTACCGGGTCAGCTAGTATATATATATATATACGAGGTCTGTTCAAAAAGTACCCGGAATTTTCGTTTTTTCAAAAAAATATTTATTTATTCGTCTACATTAATGTGGTCCCCTTCAAAGTAGTCCCCCCCAGATATAATACACTTATGCCAGCGTTTTTTCCAATTTTCGAAGCACCCTTGATATTCACTTTTTGATATGTCCTTGAGCACTCTCAGCGATTTTCTTCAATCGAGGAAAACCGCCGTCCTTTCATGGGTCTCTTCAACTTTGGGAATAGGAAAAAGTCACACGGAGCCATATCTGGTGAATTTTTGCACTTTGCAACACTTTATTTCATTTTTACGCAAAATTTAATACAAATTCTTTGACTTTTCAATTCTTCCATTGTAAAAATCGCCGAGCTCAGAAAAACACGTCGAACCTTAGCGACTACCACAGACAAAGTAAACAGTGAATATAGCTGAAAATTTCATCATACTTTAGGGGCATGTATACCAACACAATAAAAAAAAATTTTGACAATCAGACACTCCAGACCCGCGAAATTTAATTATTAGTAATTCCGGGTACTTTTTGATATATAACTGTTGTTTAGGTATATGATGGCTATTTCGTCCATTTCTTTGCACCCGATGATCTGAAATCATTGCCAAAACATGTGGTATTTGTTTTGGACACTTCTGGATCTATGCACGGAAGAAAAATAGAACAACTTAGAACTGCAATGAGCGCCATTCTATCTGATTTGAAACCAGAAGACTTCTTTCATATAATCAACTTTAGTTTTGCTGCAAAGGTATGGTTTTATTCATTATTTTTATATACAATATTTATATTTTATTTATATGTACAATAAGCATCTTTAAGATGCTTATTGTACATATAAAAATAGGTTTTCTAGTTCATTTAGCTTAAAAGTTTTATTTTTTATTTGTAGAAAATTTAGGTACAATTTTCACTTTAAGCTCTAATATTTTCAAAAAATAGATTTTAAAATAAAGCCCAAAAAATCACGAATAGCAAAACAATCTGATATTTTCAAAACTTTAAATTTTTCAAAAAAAATTATAGTGTACGGGAACTTTGAGCATTTTGCCTTAAATTTTCACGATGCGATGCACCACTAACTATTATTATTATTATTGTTATTATTACTATTATTGTTATTATTACTATTAAATTATATATGTGTGTATGTAAATTTAAACGTTCGTAGAAATAATTGATGATAAAACCGAGTTGAACCATTATTAAACCATTTTATAATCATAAGCGTTGGTCATGCTTGAGTCATAAATCCAACACGTCATAAATAAGGAAATAATAATTAAAGGCATAAGTGTATGGCCTCGCAGTGTGTTTGCAATCAAATAAATCGATTGAGATTCTTTTAATACAAAACATATGAATAACAAAGTGAAAATTGATTTATAGTTTAAATTAAAAACTTTCAATGATTGATAGTATGTGAAGTATCACCAAACCTTTTGAAATCACTACATTTGAAATCACTATTTTAAAACTATTTTTTCTCAAATTGATACAGGTTTGGAATCTTGATGATCCTAGCACTAGCCCATCTTATTCCAGTCCTAATGTACATTGGTGGGGTCCTAAAGAAGAAAACTAATGATAAAGAAAATCCACCGCCGGCAGCTTATCCAGCGAACGAAAATTATTTGTCCAAAGCAAAGGAAGAAGTTTCGAAACTTGAAGCTAATGGAGGTGAAGATAAATAAGACATTTAAATGAAACCATCGAATAACTTCACGTGAAGTGTAATAATAAGATTCGATATAAACTGATTATATAATAAACGGATGAACGTTTTTTTGTTTCAGGTACCAACATATATGATTCTTTGGAGATTGCAATGAGGGTTGCTAATAGAGGTGTCGATTCAGAAAATTAACCAGGTAAACAGAACAATACTATAATTGCTTAAAATTAAGCACTTTATATTCTTCTACAACATAGCCTTGTTCTGTGCATTTTTATGCATATTTCTAAGATTATGTATAGATTTAGTTTTGTGGTGCGGATTTCTAATCAGTATATTTAGATAACAATCCAGGTTTTATTTTTTACCGATCGTTCGATTGAAAGTTCTGCTGATCTTTTTACTAGTTTATGGCTTGGTGAACCATGTTAATTTGACTTTACATTGGATGTAATATTTTTGAAATTTGCAATCATAATAATTTTCAAGTAATATAATTTTTCCACCTGATACATTATACATTTTAAGCCATAAGTTTTCTTACTTTTTATGCCATAAAAAGTAAGAATGCGTAATCTAACAGTTATCATCTATTTTATAGGGTTATGAAGAACTATTTGCAGAAATTCTTAATTTATGGTTTGTTTGTCTTATCGATTTATTTTATCTTTTTTATTTTGGTGTATCATCACAACACAACATATTTTTGCACCCTTGCCGCTCTCAAATAGAATTCGGCTTTGTTTAAGATCTTTCTTAAGCATTTGAATTAACACACATTTTGTCATTCCTGGTTTCATAGCGATATCCTGTAAGTAAAGCTGATCATAAATAAAAATTCTCGAAGTTATTGATATGTCGATACTGATTTTATTTATATGTTGATATTCTAAATAAATGGAATTTGTAAAAATCATTTCTTTCACAATTTTTGAAAAAAAAAATATTTCGTAACAAATTTATAATATTTTTATAAGAAAAATCCTTGAATGCTTTTATTTTATCTTTCTTATCTTTTCTTTATACATATACCTATGTTTCAATTATGATCATACACATAGGTTATTTGTAGAATACGTTTCTTGGTCTATTTAATAAGCACTTATGAATTCACAGTATTTAAAATAATCTATTTGTGAAATCAATTAAAGTAATTGTTATTATTTATTTACTAATTTTTATTGATTATTATTGATTATTTTTATTCCTCGAATATTTAATTATGGTAAGGGAGGCTTCATAAATTTTCTCTAAGGCACGGTATAATCTACCTTTAGTTTTATTTGAAATACTTATCTTTAAGAAATTGACCCTTTCTTAGCCAAGAATGGTTTCCTTAATGAGCGGAAAAGCTTCATAGAAACATTGAAACTAGCGGTGCACGGCGTTGTGCCTTAAGTCAAATTTTTTGTACTTTCCGTACCGTAATTAAATATTCGAGGAATGAAAATAATCTTCATTCAATAAAAATTGATCAATGATTAATAACAATTGTTCTAAACATTATTAAATAAATTATTATAAATACTACAAATTTTATCATTTACGCAATTTACCTTATCACGCAAAATACTTAAGTATTTCTTAATTTCAAAGATATGAGACAGATACAGACTTTAGACCAGATATAATTTAAGATACTTTATTCCCAACCTTTTTTGGGCCCCGCCCCACCTTGAGGTTTAAAAAAACGTTATGCCCCCCCATACAATTTTATTTTTATTTCTAAAAAAAAAAATGTGAATGATAAATTTTAAGATGAAATCGCTATTAAACATCATAAGTAAAATTTCGGAATAAGCCAACAAACAGAAACTTCAAAATTAATTTTATTACTGTTTTTTCGAAATTTATTTATTGCAGTACTTAAGCCAAAATAAAGATTTTATATTAAGTTCTAACTTACTAAACTTTTTGTACATATGATTACATTTGGGCATTTGGTTTCAGTTTCTTCATAAAGCCATTTCTTAACGAATCTACTTAGGTAGTTAACATTTTCTTAACTCAGAACGGAATTATATATAATTTTTTTTTAGTTAATTTTTTTTTTAGTTATCAGATTGGCAACTAAGTGCGCATATTTTTCTAGAAATTGGTAGTTATCGTTGGCAACTAAGTGAGTGCGCATTTTTGTTAGAAAATCAAAGACAATTTTTGGGTGGAATTAAATAACTTTGTACTGTATACTATTTTGATCGATGACCTTTTGTTATTTCCCAAGAAGCATCATTATCCCAAGTTTATAAAACAACTAGTTTTTATTAGCAAAAACTGAATTAGGCATAATTTGACACCAACATGATTTTTTTTTAAATCAAGGTTTTAAATCAGATGGTTTGTGATCAGGCATATTTGGTGGATATGGAGAAAAATTTCAACCAACCCCCAATAATTTTTAAACATCGCCAAATTGTTTCTATTAGCCGAATCGATTATTGCGTTAATTAGGTTGTCCAAAACTTTAACTGGACAATCAGAGCAGGATTGAGTCGAAAAAGTCGAGTCAATCCGGCAGAAAAAACTCCGGCACCAGGAAAGCAAGGTTGAAAACTAAACCGTCCCGGTCAAACCGGGACACCTTATTATTTTTAAATCTAAGAACCAATTTGTTAAATGTTTTACCGATACTATACTACATTACATAAAATTACCAAAGTTTTCAAATTGCTCTCTTGAAATCACAAATTGCCCCCCGATGGAGCGTGCGCTCCACGTTGAAGAAACACTGCTTTAGAGTCTCTCATATTTTAAGATTGATTTGGATTAGACTAGGCATATAAATATGGGGCGTCCATTATCACGTGATCGATTTGTTTAGGATTTTTGAGCCTCTCGCCTCCTTGGTGATACGTGATGGTATTCAAATTAGCCCCCTTCCAACATCAGGTGTATTTTTGAAGAAAAAGTTGTTTTAAAAAAAAAAAAAACTTAGAGTAAAAAATGCATACACGTGATATCTTACTATACCCCTCTTCTGCCTTACATAATCTAATACGGAACTTGCACCAGTAATGCTGTAGGAAAAGATTACTGGCTTAACCTCAGATAATTCATTTGCCAGCATAGCGAAAACTACATATATCTTTATCTTTAACAAGAATTAACTTTGAATTAAAATTATATTATCATTATAAAATATTTGAACTGAAAAGATGATGCAGAATTGGAAGAATCATTATTCGTTTCAGCCAGAACGATAACATGGTCATTAAGACTAATATCCAAAAAAAGTTTTTCTGAGGCTTTGCTGAAAATTGAAAATTAGTAAATGCCCATCAATTTAAGTTCAAGTCTTTTTTCATTTACTAATTTTATACACATATAATTTCTTACGTTTTTTAAACCGAAATTATTCTTTTTAGCGGAGTACCTAAACCGGAACCTTTGATTATTTTCTTGACTGATGGTGATCCAACCGTTGGAGAAACTGATCTTAACAAAATTTATACCATGGTAGATGAAAGCAAAGTCAGTGATAAACCTCCTACTATTTTTTCTCTGGCATTTGGTAAGTCATTCAAGAAAATACTAACATTTTATTTATTAATAAAAATATGTATTGAAAATTATACATTTGATATCATTTAAATTTACCCTCTGTTATCATTATATATTATTGAAATTTATTAAGTGCAGTTTCTTATATTAGGTGATGATGCAGATAGAAACTTTTTGCGCAAAATTTCTTTACGTAATGGAGGATTTCTGCGACATATTTATGAAGCTGGTGACGCATCTAGACAATTGCAAAACTTTTACCGTGAAGTATCCTCTCCTTTATTAGCGGGTGTTAAATTACATATCCTCGGATCAGGTATGATATTTTTTCATTTCTATCATCGACTTTACGTTGAATTAAAACATTCGATAAATTATTGGTATATACTATTTTGGAGTGGCATTTTGCTTTAAGGCAAGTTGGATGAACTTTCCGATACGTATATGATCAAGAACTAAATAAGCAATAATAATTGAGATTTATCTTTTTAGGTAAATTATTTACTGTTTATATCAAATTTTTTTTGATTTTCTATACTATTTCGAATTGTTGCTTTTTATTAACTTCCCGTAGGGTAAGTTATAGTAATCGCAAAAAAATCGAAAATGAAAATTTTTATATATCTTTACGTTTCAGAGGTTTCTGAATATTTTGGCATACCTTAAAAAAAATGGATGTATGTGTGTGTGTGTGTATGTGCGTGTGTGTGTATGTGTGTGTGTGTGTGCGTGTATGTGTGTGTGTGCGGATACAAATTTTCGTCGACGATTTCGGGAACACGGATGAAGCAATTTGAATAATTTAAAAAACATTCGATCCGTATTCATAAGGAGACGTGCTGATTAGTTTTTGGTGGAGGTAGGTCTAGCCGTTCCGAAGATATGGGGCAAAAAGTGCCAAAAACGGTACCTCAGTTTTTAAGAGAACGGAGCGTCCGATTTTAATAATTCAAAAAACATGTTACTTGTATTGACGAGATGAAGATTTGATCAAATTTTCATAAGGGCAGGTCTAGCGGTTTCGGAGATCTAACGAAAAAAGTAGAAAAAAATGCCATTTGGCGGTCAAAAATGATCATTAGACATATGCACATCAAATTATCAGATATTTTATAGAAATTTTAACAATAAGAATAAATTTTATTTACATTCCTATGGGTTCCGTACCAATGTTTATCCGTTAGACAGCGACGCGGCGCTTACGCGCTTTATATTTTGTCTCTATGCAGTTAAAGCAGTACGATTGCTTTGAAAAAAAGTTCAGATCTTCCAACATATGTCAAAATAAAATAAACATTTTTTTTCAAAAAAAAAAAAAAATTAAAAAAAAAAAAAAATTAAATTTTTTTTTCAAGAAAAAAGTAATTTTTTGTCAAATTTATAGTTTCTCAAAAATCTTATTTTTTCGAAGTAATTTTTTTTTTAAATGTTAATCGTTTAAAAAAAAAATAATTTTTGGTACGGGAAGTTCCAGCAATTTGCCTTAAGGCACGATGCCCTAATTGCCTCAAGACAGAATTCCACTTACAGCTATTTACATTTATACTTCCAATTGCATAATTTAAATTAATTTAACACATTACATTTAATCTACATAGTGACAAAAAGTTTCCGGAAGTTCTATATAAATCGTAAAATAGTTAACCTCATTCAATGTTTTTTTTTGTCTTCTTCAAAATATACTCCTTCTGAAGCAATACACATACACCAACGCTTCTTCGAAACTTCGAAACAATTTTCATAGGCATTGGTCGGTAGTTTTCTTATTGAAATATAATGTATTTAAGATGAATATTGTTTATGTTTATAAAACGTGTTTTCAAATTTCTTTAATATATATATATATATATATATATATATATATATATATATATATTATTTATTAACTTTCCGTAGGGGAAAAATTTTTACATTTCTCGACGTTTTGAAGGTTTTTGAACGTTTTGGCATACTTCAAAAAAAAATGGATGTGTGTGTATGTATGTATGGATACAATTTTTCGTCCACGTTTTCGGGCCACGGATCAACCGATTTGAATGGTTCAAAAAACATTCGATTTCTATCGATAGGGAGATGTGCTGATTAGTTTTTGGCAAAGGCAGGTCCAGCAGTTGCAGTTATGGAGATAAAGAGCAAAGAGTGCAGAAAATACAAACTGAGTTTTTGAGAGAACGGAGCATCCGATTTGAATGATCCAAAAAACATTCAATTTGTAATGACGGGGAGAAGCGGTGATTAGTATATGGCAAAGGCAGGTTCAGCGGTTTCGTAAATACAGAGCTAAATGTGCAAAAAATGGTAGTTTTTGAGGGAACAAGCGTCTGATTTGAATGATTCGAAGAACTTTCTGCTTGTTTTAACAAAATAATTGATTTTGAAAAAAAAATTGTTTCAAATTTTTTTTTTCAAAAATTATTTTTTTTTTATTTTTTTTTTGTATATCGAAAATAATTCAGTTTTCTATTTTAATTCTGTTCTAATATACCTTAAACAAATAATTTAAACTTTCCAATTCAGTTTATGTAATTTTTATAAATATTAGACAATGTTACAATATTTATAATAATCTATTTTAAAACATTTAATATTCCTCGATCATCTCGTTACAGTACGAGAAGTTCCAGCAATTTGCCTCAAGGCACGATGTCTTAATTGCCTTAAGACAGAATTCCACTTACAGCTAGTTTATTTTTTTTTGTTGTACATTTCTAACTTCAATGTGTCACACTTAGGACATTCAGTAATTGTTTTGATCTTATTATATGGATTTTTGAATCGAATATTTGCTGACATTTTTATTATATATAAGCAACTATATCGACGAGAGGCAATTTTTACTTGAGGCTATATTTGAGATCTATAATCTCAAGTGGAAATTTGACATCAAAGTTGCACGATGTCGGGCTTTGGCGGTAGCGGGAATCGAACCAGCGAATCCAGGACTAGTTGGTGCTAGATATATTTTGTAAAGTAATAATTTATCCCGAGATGTTCAATAACCCAATAAAAATGATTTCTTCGACGAAATACTTGTTATTAAGATATTTATTGTGCATAAAAATTGCAGATAGATGAACAATCACTGACGAGGCGGTCCTTCCCACATTTATTTATGGGCTCTGAACTAGTGGTAGCCGGGCGCATGCAATCCGACGCTGTAGAATTAGAACCAGAAGTGAAAGCTGTTGGAGCCTCCGGTTCGTGGTCAACTACGGGAATTGTCAAGTCTCCGGTAAAATCTTATTAATCAAATATTTTTAACTATTTATATTTTTAAATAGAAAATCAGTTTGCGTTGCTCAATTCATTGCACTACGTACCTTATCAGTATTTTGTTAAAAGGAATTGCTATCAGTTACTAGCGAATTATAATACCCTAATATTTATAAATAATGATTTATTACAAAATCAGAGTGTTATATATTAATTGTGTTAAATATACCAGCAAGGGTACACAATATACAATGCTCATACGGTTTGCATAATCGAAATAAATTTAATATTTATTAAATAAAATACTAAATTGTGTTTAATACAAAAAATTCCACATTGTTTAACTGTTAAATAGTAAAACTCTATGGAGTCTGCGAATGTATTCGCCAACGATTCACACGCCAGTTCTGAATTTATTTGAGCACAGTTTCGTAAAGAATCAACAAATTCAACTAGTTCATCAACATGTTGATGTTCTAATGTCTGCAGTCATTAGAAAATACTAACACCGTCAACAAGTGTAAAGGAAATTAAAGCTAAATCTAGCAATTTGTAACCGTTGAAATTTTTTTCTATAAAACCTCTTATGTTGATAGATATCATGGTCCTAAAGAACTTACTAAAATTTTACAGTCCTACGACAAGTAGTTTAATTTTAAAAGTTCATCAAAGTTTGATAAATATTATAGTCAAAAGTTGCTTTTGTGATGTGATGACTTAAACATTGTCAATTCATTAAAATTTGGAATAATACGCTACAATTTTAGGACATACAAAGCACGTGATGTGCTTTATAATTAATATAATTACAAATTTAAATGTGTTTGAGATATATCAAATGGAAATAGCAATGTTTAGATTTAATTGAAAGCGAATATTTTATTTTCGAAATATACAGCCAAAATAAAATTTTTACTAAATATAAAAGTCTCAATTCCCGTTGATCAAGTCAATTATTACACATTTCGGAAAAATCGTGCAACTTGCCACTTTCAACTAGTTTATAAGTGCCTTATATATACTAGATTCGAAATTTTTGTAAAATTAAATATTAGTTTTTTAACTTCCCGTAGGGTAAGTTATAGTAATCGTAAAAAAACGAAAATGAAAATTTTTATATATCTTTACGTTTAAATTTTCGTCCACGATTTCGGGAACACGGATGAAGCGATTTGAATAATTAAAAAAACATTCGATTCGTATTGATAAGGAGACGTGCTGACTAATTTTTGGCGAAGGCAGGTCTAGCCGTTCCGAAGATATGGGGCGAAAAGTGCCAAAAACGACAACTCAGTTTTTAAGAGAAAGGAGCGTCCGATTTGAATAATTCAAAAAACATTTTACTTGTATTAACAAGATGAAGAACTTATTGAATTTTTGGGAAGGCAGGTTCAGCGGTTATGGACTCTAAATAAAAATAATTTTAAAAAGTGTCATTTGGCGGTAAAAATGTTCATTGGACATATGTACATCAAATTATCAGATATTTTATAGAGATTTTAATAATGTGTACAACATTTTTTTGGGTCCGTGCCAAGATTTTAATTACGGGGAAGTTCCAGCAATTTTCCTCAAGGCACGATGTCATGCCCCCACTAGTTTTTAGTATAGTTGATATATATTAGCTCTGTAATTTATAGTCATTTGACTCTAATTGTTATAGTAAAATGAAATAAAAATAATAAAAGACAACATTTTACAGATTGCACCAATTCGAGTACAGCACAAACCCGCTCCGTTAGAAAGGCTTTGGGCATATTTGATGATCAAGCAATTGCTGGACGAAAAGGATTCGCAAATCGATATTGATTCAACTCATAAAGTCGATGAGGTGCCACATGCCGAACCGAACGCTTTGCAACCAACTAATACGAAAGATACGGCCAAAGGACAGGCTTTGAAAACTTGCACTCAAGGTGAGATGCATTAATTAATAAATGAATAATTAAAGATTAACATTTTTGAAAAAAAATTACTATTGAAAAAAATTTACTTGTTTTTGAAAAAAAAAGACTTTTGAAGAAAAGTGTATTTTGAAATATTTTGGAAATTCTGAACTTTTTTTCAAAGCAATCGTACTGCTTTAACTGCATAGAGACGAAATATCGAAGCGCGTAAGCGGCGCGCCTCCGTCTAACGGATAAGCATTGGTATGGAACCCATAGAAATGCAAAAAAAAATATTACTTATTGTTAAAATATCTATTAAAATATCTGATAATTTGATTTGCATATGTCTAATGATCATTTTTGACCGCTAGATGGCATTTTTTTTTAATTTTTTACTAGAATCTCAGAATCCGCTTAGACCTGCCGTGATGTAGATGATCACTTGGTCATCTTGTTAATACAAGTAAAATGTTTTTTGAATTATTCAAATCGGACGCTCCGTTCTCTTAAAAACTGAGTTACCGTTTTTGGCACTTTTTGCCCCATTTCTTCGGAACGGCTAGAATTGCCTTTGCCCAAAAACTAATCAGCACGTCCTTATCAATACGAATTGAATGTTTTTGAATTATTGAAATAGCTTCATCCGTGTTTCCGAAATCGACGAAAATTTGTACCCGAACTAGAGGTGGGGTCGTTGACGGTTTTGCCGTCAACGAAACGAAACGTTATCGGGGTTTCGTCAACTAGTTAAATAACTAGTTATTTTTCAACTATAGTTATTTTTAACGATTCAACGCTGGCAACGTTAAGAAACTGATAGTTGAAATAACTGTTTCATTGAAAGTTGTAATATGAAGTTTGTTCTTATAAAAGTCAAGTTGACGTTGGATTTGATGAATAAAAGAAATAAATGTGAATTGTCCACATTTATTACACACACACACACACAACAACTACATATATATATATATATATTATATATATATATATATATATATAATAAATAAAGGTTTAATTTAAAAAACTTAAATATTTTCATTACAGCAAAGCCATATACTAAAAACATCGAATTTACATGTTATATAAAAATAGCAATATAAAAATATATAGTTATATAAAAATGTTATGAAAAATAAAAAATCAATTTTCAGATTTAATTTAAAAAAATTATTACAAGACAAATGCTATGAGATTTTTATGAAAAATATTAATCATTGAAAACTATAATAAATGTAACTGATTTTCTAAAATTAAACGATTTGGCGCGTGTTGCAAGTTTCTTTTAAGATGTACATGTACATTTGCAATATTATAAAAGCAGTAGCCTAACAATAAGCGATTTTCATAGTATTAGTTGATCCTTTCCGACGCAGGTACCTGCCTACGTTCGTTTTCGACAACGAATGAATTCCTATATCGTTGAAAAAACTAACTGGCCGCCATGTTTTCAACTGCTTCGAAACCAGTTGATTTTCAACTAGTTATTTCGTTGCGACGAAACGGTTAGTTAGTTAACGAAGAAGAAACGGTTGAAAATAACCGTTCGTTGATTCAACGCCCATCACTAACCCGAACACACATACACACACGCGCACACACACATACACACACACATACATCCATTTTTTCTAAGGTATGCCAAAATGAGAAAAAAATGTATAACCAGCCTTCGTCCTACGACGTCGCTATCGGGAGGAGCTAAACAGCTATGTTTGAAAATCTATAACAAAAGTATTTTCTTTTTTAACTTCCCGTAGGGTAAGTTATAGTAATCGCAAAAAATCGAAAATGAAAATTTTTATATATCTTTACGTTTCAGAGGTTTCTGAATATTTTGGCATACCTTAGAAAAAATGGATGTATGTGTGTGTGTGTGTGTGTGTGTGCATAGTATGTATGTGTGTGCGGATACAAATTTTCGTCGACGATTTCGGGAACACGAATGAAGCAATTTGAATAATTTAAAAAACATTCGATCCGTATTGATAAGGAGACGTGCTGATTAGTTTTTGGCGGAGATAGGTCTAGCCGTTCCGAAAATATGGGGCAAAAAGTGCCTAAAACGGTACCTCAGTTTTTAATAGAACGGAGCGTCCGATTTTAATAATTCAAAAAATATTTTACTTGTATTAACAAGATGAAGATTTGATCACATTTTTATAAGGGTAGGTTTAGCGGTTTCGGAGATCTAACGAAAAAAGTAAAAAAAAATGCCATTTGGCGGTCAAAACTGATCATTAGACATATGCACATCAAATTATCAGCTATTTTATAGAGATTTTAACAATAAGTAAAAATTTTGTTTACATTGCTATGGGTTCCGTACCAATGTTTACCCGTTAGACAGCGACGCGGCGCTTACGCGCTTTATATTTTGTCTCTATGCATTTAAAGCAGTACGATTGCTTTGAAAAAAAGTTCAGATCTTCCAAAATATGTCAAAATATAGAAAACATTTTTTTAAAAAAAAAAAATTAAAAAAAATATTTTTTTTTATTTTCTTTTTATTTTAATTTTTTTTTTTTCGAAAAAAAGTAATTTTTTGTCCAATTTATAGTTTCTCAAAAATCTTATTTTTTCGAAGTAAATTTTTTTCAAAAATGTATCGTTTTTAAAAGATAATAATTTTTGGTAAGGGAAGTTCCAGCAATTTGCCTTAAGGCACGATGCCCTAATTGCCTTAAGATTCAACCGTTTTTTTATATAATTTTCATGAAAAATAAGACGTGGGTGGGGTAAGAAGGACCAACTGAACCTTTATCCTGGCAATGGTGTAAACAATGAAAACTAGTAAATAAAAAAGTAAATCAAGTTAAAACAGAAGTTTCACAAGTGATAAGTTAAATAAATATTTATTCCAATCTTGCTGGTGATTTTTTTTATGAAATACCACATCAAGGTTGTATACAGTATTATTTCTGAAAAAAAATGTACCTTTAAATTTTGTATTTTACATTGGTTGAATAATCTAGATATTATTTCGCAATTCTTCATAATTAAACATTAAATTATAAAATACCATAAAATTAAACATTTGATCTTTTTACCTCGTGGCCGTCTCATTTTACCCCGTCCATGGGATAAAAAGGACCAGGTTACAATTTTTGAAAATTAGCAAAATTTACATATCTTTGAAATGATGAATTAGCTGGGATTTTTACTGAACATAATCAGATAGTTGTTTGTTTAATATGTGGTATTTGTTATGATGTAATTGGTTTGGTTGTCATAATATAATTGCTCAAAGTCAAAGCGACGAGCGTATTCTACAAGAAACTTTTAACAAGCTATAGGGTAAGTTATGGTAATAGTTCAAAAATTGAAAATGAAAATTTTTGCATATTTATAAAAAATTAACTTTTTGCCATACCTTATAAAAAATTTGATGTTTGTGTTTTGTGTAGATACAATTTTTCGTTCACGATTTCGGACTCATGGGTTTTGCTTGTATTGACTAAACATCATTTAAACTTCAAATTTGTTTTTTTTTCTTGTTTTCATTTCCACAAAATAATTTTTTATCGAACATAATTTAGATATTAATTTTATTTCTAGCTAATTTCTAAAGCCTATTTATATATTTAAAATAAATAATTTTAACTTTGCAATTCATTTTATATAATTCTTAAAAATAAGAGAAATTCTCTTCATTTGCTTTTCATGTAAACTATTAGAAACATTATCGTCTAATTCACAAGCTTTTATATTGCATCTATAAAATACGAATAATGAAAGTTTCAGTGCTTACAATAATATATAAGAAAACTTTTGAAATTTTTCGATTATTTTATTACGGTACGTGAATTCCAGCAATTTGCCAAGTTTCGAAAACTTGATTTTTTTGAAAATATTGATTTTTTTTTAAATTTAAAAATAAAAATATTTATAATTGAGAAATAAAGAAAATTTTAAATTTTCGGAATAAATTCTTTTTTTTAATTTTGATTTTTATGAAAATTTAAAAAAAAATCAGACTAGTTTAATTCAAAAATACTACGTGTGGCGTAGAATTTTATCAAAAAAACGACTTCTTTGAAAAATTAGAAATTTTTAGGAAATTTGAAAATTTTGTTTTTTTTAATCTAGTTTTTTTTTAAATCCGTTTTGATAATTAAGTTAAGTCGTAGGGTAAGTTATAGTAATCGCAAAAATGGCAACTTTTTTATATATCTTTACGTTTCACAACTTTCTGAACATTTTGGTGTAATCTGCTTTTACAAAAATTTCTTGATTTGTCAAATCAGCTCGTCTCCTTGTCAATTAGTACTGAACGTTTTTCGAACAATTGAAATAGGTTAATCCGTGCTCCAGAATAGGTTGACGAAAAATTGTATTCACGCATAAATACATACACACACATGCATACATTCATTTTTTACGGTATATTAAAACGTTTAAAAGCCTTCAAAATGTAAAGATATACAAAACAATTAGCCATGAGGTATTAAGTAGAGAATTCTAGTATTACTAATTTTGCACAGAATGTTTGTTACTTACTAACTTATATATGTGAATACTTTAGTTTACATTTTGTTTATTTTAGTACTCGTTTGTAACACCGCTGACTTCCCTTGTCGTTGTGAAACCGAATGCAACGGACAGCTCAGTTGATACAGAGACTGCAAAACCAGGTACAAACGACCTTAACTTATTCTATAAAAAACTATTTCTATAAAGTCTTCCTACATTCACGGGTGGCAAGGTTAGCACTAGGGAATGCAATATTAGTATACCGATATACCGAAATACCGGTATAACGCTCGATTTTTCGGCGATATTAATACCGGTTGTTTAGTAAAATTGACCATTCGGTTTGAATGGCCAAAGGTACTTTTGTCAAGATAGATTAAAAGTGTTTAAGAAGTTCGTGATCTATCTGAATCCTGCCGAACTCTATTGAACACTTGCACTTTGTCGAAGGATCAGATATATTTAGTTGTTGGCTATATCAGACCGTTTGAATAATAAATAAAAGATGATAAATAAATGTTTAATTATTGTATATTTGAAAGAATATTAAGACTTAT